AAAAAAAAGGAAAGTCTTCCATTTGTGACAACATGAATAGACCTGGAGAACATTATGCTAAGTGAAATAAACCAAACATAGAAAGACAAATACTGTATGATCTCATTTACATGTAGAATCTAAAATAGTAAAACTTATAGAAGCAGAGAATGGTGATTGCCCGGGGCGAGGGAGAGGGGAAAATGAGGAGGTAATGGTCAAAGGGTACAAAGTTTCACTTACGCAGGATGAACACATCCTGGAGATCTGCTGTATAGCACCATGCCTTTAGCTAACAATATTGTATCATATATTTAAAAATTCTCTAAGAGGGTAGATCTCTTATTAAGTATTCTGACCACAAACAAGAAAATGATAATAAAAATGAGGTGGGAGGAAACTTTGGGAGGTGCTGGACGTGCTGGCAGCCTTGATGGTTACACAGATGTATCTTATCCCCAAACTCATCAAATTATATATTATGTATGTATGGCTTTTTACACATCAATCATACCTCAACACAGTAGTTTAAACAGAGCAACTGAGTGTGGAGCATGACAGTTTGGGGAGAAGAAGGATCTATTTGAAGTTCCCATAATAGTCACTAAATAAGTGTTAAATTTGAAAAAAATATGTTTAAAATGACAAAGCTTGTTTTAGAGCTGTATATGTACCTAGCACTTCAAATATCTCTTTCCTAATACATGTTAACATTTGGGGACTTAATAAACATTTTTAGAAAGATACTATAAAAAATATATTTCTAGTATCTCCCTATAATTAGCCTACCAGTTTTCTTCTGGGAACCGCTTCAGTGAGCCTGAGGAGAGATGACTCTCTAGATCTTACGTTCTTGACATCCTTCTTTTAGAGAGTTGGAGGGATCCTTGGGAGTTTTCACTGTGGTGGCTTGGAGCTTCCTTCTCCTCTCACACTGTTGGCACCATCATTCTCCCAGGGGCTCAGCTCAGACTTCTGTGTGACTCATCCATCCATTGCCCTATCTCCCACATCTTGTCAGTTGACAAATTTAGTTGATTGAATCTCCTCAGTATCTCTCAAATTCACTTTTTATTTTCATTACCACTGACCAGATCAGACCCTTGTGACTTAAACTTGACTGTTATAAAACCTTTAAAAAACTTCTGTATCCACAGGATTTCTCTTCTGTCTTCTATCCTGTGGAAAGAAAAGGCCTGGTTTTGATTATTTCTGAAATCTAAGCACTTAGGCCAGAGCAGATAGGCAATAAGTGTTTGTTAAACAAGGCCTGGTTATTACTGCTTCTTTCTTCAAAAGATGGTTTCATGTTGCCCATGGATTGAAACTCTCCTCAGCCTGGTGTCATAGTACACGAGTCTTCCTTTCTACCTCATTTCTCACACTATCCAGTGATGCCCCCTCTGGTCCATCCTCCCTTCTTCCAAATCTTCATTTGTCAACGTCCCACCCATATTTTCACACGCTGATCCATTGACCTCTCTCTGAGGTCGCCTCAGATTCTTCTCACATTATAATTGGTCTTTCTTTCCTGTTCTCTCAGTGGCTTAATAACTCCACTACGGCAGTCTGTCTTTAATTACAGCTCTTGAGGGGACAGGGTTTCATTATAAGTGCCGATTTTGACTAATTGGTAATGGCAGCCTATAGCACTATATATTAGAAAAAGATTCTAAGGGAATACTTAGGTTCCTCATGACAGAAGGTGCCAAAACAGAAAAAGAGAGGAAACAAACCACATATGAAACCCAACTTTGTCATTCATCCCCATGTCTGTGTCTGTTCAGCCAGATCATGTGTCCTTAAAGACATCAAAAAAAAAAAGACATCTTTCTATTTTCATTGCCTCTGTCACAATTTGTTCTTTAACACCCTATTCCCTGATTTTAAAAGTTTACAATCTAAAATGGCAAATATGGCATTTGAGATAGAATGTGATAATGGACAAGAAAGATATAAGTGCTAATGAAATGACCCTTGAAGACTGGGAAGGAAGACACAGAGAACAAGAGGAGGAAGGCAGGTATTTATTCAAAGGAAAGGAAATCAGTATCTTGGAAAGAGGTCTACATTCCCAAGTTCATTATAGCATTGTTCACAATAGCCAAGATAAAAACAACCTAAATGCTTATCATTGGATGAATGGATAAAGAAAATGTGACACACACACACACACACACACACACACACACACACAGAATATTATTCAGGCTTTAAAAAGCCAGTAAATATAAGTCCAGTGAAGTTCTCTCTTAACCAAGTATTAAATTCTAAAACAACAAAAGTGAAAAACCTAATACAGTTAAAATTATCTTTGAAAATTCCTTCCTTGCCCATATAGTATAATATACATTTTAAAATATTATACCAGCTATCCTATAAATTATTAACTCTAAACTTCAAGAGGAACTGCATAGAACAATGAAAACTACAAAATATGCAGCCATCTGAACATTCAGACTTTTCTGCCTTTAAAATACCTATCAAAATACTAGAGAGGATGCAGAGTGGGTGGAATATGTCTCCTTCCCTATAGATTTTATTACATTTCTTAGAAAGTGGTAAATCTATCTATAGCAAGTATTTATTAATGGGCTTGTTTATTTTGAAATAATGTATATACAAGAACCTAACAAAAGGCTTGGAACATACTTGGAGCTTTAACAAATGCTTTCTGGATTTGAATTTAAATTTTGCTTATTTTAGACCCACATACAAACTGTTCTACAAAAAGTTGTTTAGAAGGCCTTGATTGGCTTCCTGTCTTTCCAAGTTGGCATCTCCTGTGTGGTGTAGTGAACAGCTATCACTCTTGTCATTTACATTAGTTACAAGACACCCTACCATAGTTCTGGAAATGTATATTTAAGGGAGAGAACATTTTTTGCCCTCCAAACTTGAAAATTAGTAACATCCGATGTTAGCTAGGATATGGGAAATACGTGTCTTGTATACTTCCAATAGTAATGTGAACTATATAAACTTTTTTGGAAAAATTCATCCTATCAGTGAAATAAAAGTGCAAGTCCTCATAGTGGCAAGTACCGAAATCAGCTCATGTGTTCATCAATAGAGAAATAATTGAAGAAATTATGATTACGGTACCCCACACTGTGGAAAATGATGTACCTTGAAAAAAAATAGATAGATCCATATGTATTGATTAGCAAAGTGCCCGTGACATTAAGTTAAATAAATTGTGAAATAATAGGCAAAATATAGTACTATCTTTTTAAAAGACAAAAACTGAAGACTCAACAAAAGAAAAATAAACCTATATGTATCTGTGTTTGTACAAGCCCTTCAAAATGTGGAAGGATATACCCTAAATCGTTAGAACTGGTAACGCCAAGGAGGTGGGAAAAGCCAATGTTTGAGAGAAGAGCAAGACAATCATCTCACCTTTGTTGCTCTCTTGTCGAAGGCTGGATCCAAATTAGGGGTAATAGGAATTAAAAGAAAAAGAAGAAGATAGCAGGAGTGGAAGAATGAAGGGGGGGGAGTCGGAGGGGGAGATGAACCATGAGAAACGATGGACTCTGAAAAACAAACTGAGGGTTCTAGAGGGGAGGGGGTGGGGGGATGGGTTAGCCTGGTGATGGGTATTAAAGAGGGCACGTTCTGCATGGAGCACTGGGTGTTATACGCAAACAATGAATCATGGAACACTACATCAAAAACAAATGAGGTAATGTATGGTGATTAACATAACAATAAATAATTAAAAATAAAGACAACTGGGAGATGGAATGGTGGTGGAAACGGAGTGGATGGGATTTAGCAACTTTGTGCATGTGGTGGAGAGGGAAATGAGGAAGTCAAGGACAGCTCATTGATTTCTAGCCTGAGCCACTGTGGGAACCATGGTGTCATATGTAGGAACAGGGGTACCATGAAAAGAAGTGGAATCTTTCTTATTGTTACCAGAGGAGAGATGAGGAGTTTGGGTTATCTGTCAAAGTTGTGCTGCTTCTTGTTTTAAATGATAATTGCTCCTATAGGAAAGCTGCTTTCTTGGTCTTGAAGCATAGGGGGGGAAAAGCTGCTTTATAATTGTATTTCATATGAACGGTAGAATTAGAAGAGTCAGACCGGCATCTAAATTTTTACCTTATCCATGCATATTATTCCAAAACAAAAGAATATTTCTTTTTGAATTGGAAGAAAAAAATATAGGAATTTAAAATCATTTCAATATGTAAAGAAAAGTCAATTTTCCTATTGTATTCAAAGTGGCATAAAGTATAAAATGTGACCTATACAATTTTTATTGTTTCTTTTGTGTTGTTTTAATATAGCTATTCTCCTTGCAAGTGTTTATTTAACTTAATGCCTGTAAATTAATAGTATATTGTTACTAAAGATATCCTATAGGGGTAGGATTGCAAAAATGTTTAGTTCTAGAAATAGCTTGTGCACTTTTATTCTACAGAAAGCAGCATTAGAAATTTAGTCCCACTGAGTATTTATTTCTTGCAAATACTGTCAAAATACTGGGTAAATTTATTTCTGTATAATTACATCATATTTTATGCTGGGATTGAAATAGAAATGTGTAATCCATCAGTATGACCCTTTTGCATAGATAAATGAGTCAACACAGTTACCTGAATAAATCACTTTGTCAGCTCACTTGTATGGAAATGAACTGTTCTTGCATACCTTTATTCTCCATTCATCACTGATTGTATTTTTACTTCAGACACTATTCCTATGTAGTCTTCCTTTGTTGAATTATTTGGGGCTACCCATGGGGAATGTTTTTCATCTTATATTTGTTATCTTGAATCTGAGTTAAAACAAGAATTCCTATAAGTGTCATTTTTTTTTTTTTTGAGTCTAAAGAATTTCATGAATTTAAAAACCTTCAGAGAACTAGGTGATTATGGCATGGGAACGCACAAGATGATTCATTTTATTAACTAATTCTTCCAGTTTGAGTGAAGCTATATATGGCCCCTACTAGAGAAAATAGGAAAGAGATAATAAATTTAATATTTTGTATATTTCTTGTTTTTCAGAAAATAAATACTGCTGGAACCAGTAATGCAGATGTCCCCTTGGCTGATCCCGGAATGTACCAATTGGACATTACGTTAAGAAGGGGTCAAAGTTTAGCTGCCCGAGATCGAGGAGGTAAGAACATAAGAACACCACCACCTAGAAACTTATTTTATGTGTTTTTGACAAATTTTGTTTTCCTTACGGTTGCTTCAGTAAAAAAAAAAAAAAAAAAAAAAAAAAAAATCACCTTTAGTATTATAATTTTTGGAAGGTTGGGTTCAGCAATATGGTTTGAAGCTCTATTTACTCCTGTGATCACGGAGAAAGAGATTATGATGCAAATTCAAAAAATCTGAACTGGTCCTGTCCCAAGCAGTATGGTCCCTACTAACCTGCTGACATATTAGACTCTGCCTTATGTATTATCAGTGACATAATTGGTTAGTAGATGAAGCACATATTTGGAGCCATATCAGAAGTAACCATTTGGCAGACCTGAAATTCTTGTTGCTGCATAGATTTGCACAGTTGAATCTGCTGACATTGCAGAATCCAGGACAGACATTTCGCCAAAACTTTGGAGATTCTCACCAGTGATTTTTCTGAGGCTTGGTTGGACCTGGCAGTAGTCTCATGGTAGGTCTTTGTAGTCAATGATGAAAGAAGAGACAAGGAAAACACTCTCTAGTTTCTGGTTTCCAAATCTCAAGGCAGTCTCCTGGTGAACTAGCCTGGGCTACATTAGGGATTCCTTGAACCCACATGAGAGGCAGCCCTGCGGATGGACGCTAGGTAGACTGTGGAGCATCCTGTTCACAGTTCAAAATACTAGCTATTCAGAGTGTGGAGACCTGAGGGGCCTGAAGACCCACAATTCCAATTCCATAGGAAGCTGAATTTGAGTGTAACTCCTCCAACAAGGAAGTGGGGAGAGCCCCTAAGCCTCTAACAGGTGTCAGACAACCTGAAAAGTGCTCCTGACATCATGCAGTCTCATTTGTCTGCTCTCACCCTATTTGACATCCACACTTAGGGTTTGGAAGGAACCAAATTGGGACTACAGTTTATAATTCTATCTCTTGTCTCTACAAGAATAAAATGGAGAAAATAATTTAGTATAATAGTGGGTTTTTAAAGACTAGAAACTGTACAACTAATAGATTTAATTTTTTAGTAAAAACTAGTGAATGAAGGTGTGACTAGAAATGTAGAATTTTAACACATTTAATTTTCAAAATTAACCGTCTGGCTAAGTAGTCGAGGACAAATTTTTATTGAACTGAACTGCTTGTCTCAAAATCAGTTACAATTAGATTAGAGAAAGAAAATAATGCTATTAATACAATATTATTTGGTTGTATATACGTGTACTACATTTTTTAGTTTGAGGAGTACTCTTAATTACATTCTGTTGCATCATTTGATTTAAAACAGAATTGAATCAGCCATCAGGAGATCAAAATTTTAGTCCTAGATATGCCCTCCCAACAATATTAAATACATATGCCCATAATTATTTAATACAACATTGTTTGTAATTATAAAATGCCTATACATAGGCGAGGTGGTTAAACAAAATATGGTACATCCGCAAGATGAAATATTATGCAGCTATAAAATAAAGAATAAAGAAAATCTCTAGGAATTGATATGAAAAGAGTTACAGGGGGGGTGCCTGGGTAGCTCAGTCACTTAAGCATCTGACTCTTTATTTCGGCTCAGGTCATGATCTCAGGGTCATGGGATTGAGCCCCTCATCAAGCTCCTCACTCAGCAGGGAGTCTGCTTGAGATTGTCTCTCTCCTTCTCCTTCTGCAACACCCCCCCAAATAAATAAATAAATCTTTAAAAAGAAAAAAGATAAGAGTTACAGGATATTATTGACAAGGCAAAGTACAAAAGATTATTGACAATATGGAATGTAAGAAAGGGGGAGTATAAGAAATTCTGCATTATCTGTTCATTTATTCAAAAAGAAATATTGGAAGTAAAATCCAGAAACTAATGAGATTAATAACATACATAATATAGGTAAGAACAGGTGTCAAGAATGAGAGATGGAAATGGGGTAAAAAAGATGAGGAGGAAGTGATTTTTCTCTGATCATATGAAACAATATTTGGATTATACACCATAAAACTCAAGACAAAAAAAGCACTATCCTTGATGTACTCTAGAGCATGACTACCAGTTCTGAAACTACTTAATGTGTATACTGGGACTGAACAAATAAGTAAATATATTGTAGGTAATGAGAGCCAGTTTTTCCACTGTTGGAGAAAGAAGTTACAAAAATAGAACAAGGAAAAGCTGCAAAGAACCTTCTGGTTTTAGAGGGGCATCAGTATGAACTAATGGTTTTTAATACATATACAGATAGACCGAAATTATAATGCATAGAGGTATGTGTGTGTGCATGTGCGTGTGTGTGTTTCCTAGATCTATCTGCTGAGAGGGCCTAGAAACAATTGCAAATGTGTAATGACAGAGTAGCAATCGACACAGGTTGAGCCCAGATTTTGGTTTCTAAATACAATTTTCCCAAGAAAAGTAAGCAGTGCTCCTGGAGAAGTGGTTGATTGCAGATCTGGGCCAGGGAAAGTGCAAGAAGAGCCTGGAATATTTTGCAGTCCCAGAAAGTAAGGAAGTAATAAAAAATTGATGGCATGATGTCATAGAACATAGAAGCCAACTTAAAAGAGCTCCTAGTAATCAAAACTTGGACAATTTCAGCAACAAAATAAATGATGATAATAATGAATTCTAATCCATCGAATAATATGAGTTCATGCTGGTAAGTAAATAACTGAATAAAGAAATAAGTGGGAGAGAAGGTGCAGCTTTTCTTTATGGTAGAATTCCAATGAACAAATGTAGAAGGGAAAATAAGAATAGAAAATCACCTTTTAACAAACAACACAGTAACATTTTGCAGGCAAAAATCATCAATTGATGCTAAAATTACATGTGCAAAATTATGATGAGAAATGGGATATTTGCATCATTTAAAAGTATTTCCTAACAATTTACATATGAATTACAAAGGAGGAAATAGTAACTTTACAATGGAGAGACTTGGAAGATACCACCTTACCCAAGTGTAATAAGAGACAGATATCATGGACCTCCTGATATGATGCACTGAGAAAGGCACATCATTTCTCTGACATTCTCATCAAAAAATGCATAGAGTCAATGTGATCATGAGAAAATATCAGACATACTCTGACAATATACAATGCTAATTATCTGACCTGAGTAGTAGCTGTCCTGTGGACATGGGGTGCATGATCTAGTCCCATGGTTCCATGTCTCCAGAGTTGTCAGTCTGGATGGCACTGTTCACACACACTGTCTTTCCTACAGCTGCAAATTTCTCTGTGTGGTTGTCTCTGCCACAAAGAGGAATTTTTTGAAGTAGAACAAGAGGGCCATATTCTTTTTTTTTTTAAGATTTTTAAAAATTTTTATGTTATGTTAATCACCATAAATTACATCATTAGTTTTTGATGTAGTGTTCCATGATTCATTGTTTGCATATAACACCCAGTGCTCCATGCAATACGTGCAAGAGGGCCATATTTTTAAGAAAAATGGGAAAAAAAATATTTTGTGAAAGTGAAGAATATCTACATGTGTTTAAAATGCGAACTCCAATTCAGCTTCACTGTTTTACTTACTTGGCCTGACATTTATGACTTTTTTATTGAGTAGATATGAGAGGAGATATTTAAAAAAAAGGAAACAACTTGAGTTAAGTATCAGATTGATTAAAATTTATCTTAGACCCACCACTGAATGGCAGATGTGTTAAGCATGTGACTGGATAGGTCGTATTGGGTGACTTTACACTTGTGAATTTATATACATCCAGGACAGTTAAATGGGGATGGGTAGTTCAAAGTGAGAAAAATCATTCGTTTTTGATGCAGTGTTCCATGATTCATTGTTTGCGTATAACACCCAGTGCTCCATTCAATATGTGCCCTCTTTAATACCCATCACTGGGCTAACCCATCCCCCCTCCCCTCTCCCCTCTAGAACGCTCAGGTTGTTTCTCAGAGTCCACAGTCTCTCATGGTTCGTCTCCCCCTCCGATTTCCCCCCAGAGAAAGACATGTATCATATGACCTCACTGCTATGAGGAATTCTTAATCTCAGGAAACAAACCGAGGGTTGCTGGAGTGGTGGGGGGTGGAAGGGATGGGGTGTTTGGGTGAAGGACATTGGGGAGGGTATGTGCTATGGTGAGCGCTGTGAATTGTGTAAGACTGATGAATCACAGACCTGTACCTCCGAAACAAATAATACATTCTTCCATTTTTATAACCCTTTTTACAGAACAAGTAGATGACTTCTTGCAATGCTTCTGCATTGTGCTAAGTTTTATTGTGTCTATGAACTAGAAACACATGATCTTGAAGAGTATGATGCACATAATTTCAAAGCCAAACTCCACATTCTATTAGCTATGTGATTTGGAGTAATATGTACAATCTCTCTGCTGCCATCGTAGGGTTCCAGAGTTAGCAAATAAAAATACAAGATACCTCATTAAATGTGAATTTCAGATAAACAACACATTACTTTTAGTATAAATACATCTCATCTAATCCACAGTATAATGAATATAGATAATAATATTGTACTATAACTATGTAATATGGTATTGCTACAATGACAACATATGACAATTTATAAATTTAAACACACCGAACTCCTCAAACTTACACGATATTACATGTCAACTTTAATAAAAAAATAATAAAAATTTGTCAAAAAAATATATTTTATATAATATTTAAGACATACTTCACTTAAATGTTATGTATCGTTTATCTGAAATTTCAATTTAACTGAGTTCCTTATTTTATCTGGCAGCCCTGTGACAATCGTCATGTCTAGTTATTACTAGAAAAATGCCATTTATATTTTAGTTGGCTTGGGTTTTTCAGGACCATATTATAATCTATCACATTTGAATGTAATGTCTTGACATGATTATTTGCATTGTTAGAAAAGTAAGAGCAATCTGTGTACTTATATCTGGTGATAGCAATTGCCTACAATTTGATTTCTTGTAATTTGTACCATGGAAGATGTATTAATTTTCTAGGGCTGCTTTAACAATT